TGCCCCAGCTACAATAGAGTTCAGTAATGAGAAAAATGCTGTTGTTAGAGTACGCGAGTTTTACCAAAAGTGTAAGAAGAGTCAAAAAGAAGGAACAAGTCTTCATAATCGTCGTTGGCTATATTTTATTGACTCTGGGGGCCAGATTCAATTTCAAAAGTTACTCCCAGCATTTATGCCTTATGCTTCAGTTCTACTTCTAGTAGTTAATTTATCTAAAGATCTTAATGATCCATCTTCTACAGCTATGCAGCTTTCTGAGGGAGAAATTAATGTTGGCCAGTATTCACTCTCAGTTATTGAAGTTTTAAAGCAGCTCCTTTCTGCAATAACCTCTAGTGCACAACAGTATCGTTCACTGATTGCTGATGATAGCACTCTCTCTAAATGCATCAAGCCTCCTTCAGATAAATTGAAAGTCCTACCTGTTGCCACTCATCGTGATGAGTATGATGAAACAAGGACAGAATCAGTTGAGGAAAAAAAGAAGCAGTTGAAGCAAGTTTTTAAGCTTCATGATTCTTGCAAGATAATTGGCCATGAAGGAAGGATCTTTCTGCATGAAATTGATGGCCGTGATGCTCTAACTGTTGACCATAATAGGCATAATCCTAATTTGGATAAAATTGTTAAAATATTGGATGAGAGTGCATATGAAATCAAAGTCCCTTTGAAGTGGTATTGCTTTGGTGTTCTTCTACATGATGTTGCTAAGGAAAGTTGCGGGATACTCTCTTTGTCTTATTGTCAGGAGCTTGGCCAGCAATTAAAGGTTGGTTTGTCATCAGAAGAATCATTAAGTGCTATTAAATTTCTCAGCTTTCTCAATAAATTGCTTTTTTATCCAGATTCACCTGCCAGTGATTTAGTTTTTGTAAATTTAGAAAGTCTTATCAACATTATTAGAGACCTTGTGGTTTCTATTTGTAAAGATCACTCTGCAGTGAATAATGATTTGCTACCTAATCGTGAGCCATTAGTATCTCGTGGAGAACTTTCCACTGAGATTTTAATGGAAGCTTCAGAACAGTGTAGAAACATTTCTCAGTCCATCCCAAAGTTTGAGAGCAAAATTCTTGGTCTTTTTGAGTATCTTTTGATTGCGGCACCAATGCCAAATGAAGGTTGTTTTCTCATGCCAGCACTTCTTCCGATCAAGAATGTCTCTGACATCAATCCTTTCCCTGATACAACCCCATTATTGCTGTATTTCAAGGCTGCTGTTCCAATGGGCCTCTTTTGTGCCATTATTGTTCATCTTCTCTCTCACAAAGACTCTTCCTGGAATGTTGCTGAAGAAGAGTCAAACTTTTCAAACTATTTCACTTTACGATGTCCAGACCTTCTTCGAAGTGACATAGTTCTTGTAGAACAACTTGACTGTATTACTGTGTATTGTGAAGCAGCTGATGATTATATTCCAGCAAGAGATGCTGTAGAAGAAGCAGTTGATGTAGCAATGTCTAAGCACAAACTTAGTACATGTGAAAAGCCAAAAAGAGCATTTTACTGTCCTTGTGGTAAAGGAAGGCATGCAGCTGTAGCATCATGGCTTAAAACACAAAATTGTTATGTTTTCCGTTGCACTAGTAATAATAAGCCCCAAAGTCTGGCTGTGGAGTGCTTGAGTTGGCTATATCAGACAAGTAAGATCAAATTTGATGGTAGTGTTAGTACTTAGGTTTGTTTGTAATTGATAGGAAAACGGCAGCATGATGATGAGTTACAAAATTTACCTGATATTTTAGAGACAAGTGAGTATAGCATAATGTGCAATGTGTGTACTATAGTCAACCCCTTCCTTCTTAAATACAATGGGAGGGGCTGGCTATGCAATACTGTGCTATTACCTGAGTTTTGCACAAAAAGTAAGGACCATACTTTCTTCTTTTGCAAGTGGCACTGTAGTGGGCAGACATCTCTATTTTTTTCATTATTGTTGCAATATAAAATATTGATATTCATAGTGTATGGACTAAATATACCTAAATTATTTATGAAATTTTATTTTAGATATTGCATATCAAGTCCTTGTAGATAGTACAACAGAAATCAAGGAGCATTTTTCTGGTGATCATGCTGATTTTGCAGACAAGCTGCTTGAGATGAATGTGATCACAGAAAGGGAAAGAAATACTATAACTGATACATGTACTGGACAAAATAAGTACCAGCGAATGGGAGAAGTAATTGAGCATGTAAAAAAAGCAGTTCAAATTAAAGAGTCTGTTTTTTTCCTGTTTTTGAGTATTTTTAATGAAAAAGGTACTCAACCTGCTACAGAGTTTGCTCAGAAACTCATGCAAAAATATAAAGATAAACTCTCTGATGCTAATCTGGAGTCATTGTCAAAAAGATCCAAACAGTATGAACATGATTTGTAACCTTGATTGATTTTGTAAAAATAATTTTTTTCTAATCTTTTTGATAAAAATTTGAATGAGGTAAAATGTCTGCTCAGATTGATAATTTAAATGTTTTAGATGTTTTTTCCAATAATGCTGAACAATGTCAATGAGTAATTGTGTGTTACAGAAAATTTAAATTTAAGGAGTTCTTTGTAAAGTAACTACAAATTAATTTGACACCTTGTAGATAAAAAGAGGTGTCAGCAAGCTTGTAGTAAAATGATGGCAATCTTATGATTAAAAATAGCCAAGTGAGTTTTATGTGCTAAGTTTTGTTACTGCATAGATAAAATGATTCTTTTTTATCAAAATTAATAATAATAAATGGCACCATTGCTTTGTTGTGAAGTTCCAAGCATTGAGACAGTATGTGCCCAGTTATGTTCCCATCACTTGTGACTTTAAGGTGGGCATCCACTATGCAACTTTGTTGCAAGTACCTTTGATGTGGTCGTGCAACATGTTGCATGAAGTAGAGACTCTCTCTACTTCATGCAACATGTTGCCCAACCACATCAAAGGTTTGACTACGAGTTGCAAGCAACAACGCTGCATAGTGGATGTCCACCTTTATGGATAAGTGGCTGACTCCAGATATGGTGTACAGTACACTGGTAATATTGTCTTAATGTATTAGGTTAGTTTATGCATGTAAACCATGCCCCCAAACTTCATTATATGCACTATAGCCTCTCTATAATGTTGACTTTCCTAAAAATTATACTTTTTTATAGTACAATGTGTACATGACTG